TTCTTTGGAATTGTGATATCCATTGTGCCAGACAATTTTACGCCTTCTACGGTTTGTATTGCCGCGACTATAGTATAAATTGTACTACGAAACGATACAAACGATCAAAACGTTCGAAACTGTAGATCGTTTTGTTAAACGAACGCTTCACCCACCTTATCCTAAACTTTGTAAATGGTGAAGGATGGAAATATACACTTTACATGCAGAAAAAGCAGAGATTCTCAGGCAACTTTTTACGTTTGTCCTTGCATGATTACCTTCTGCTGCCTCAGCGTAAATTATCGGCTGGATAAATTCAACGGTACAAATGATGTTCGAATAAAATTGAAACATCACAAACTTCTTCCATGCGAACACTTCTTGCGTTTCAAAGTTTATGCGGGTAAGTCACAAAATTATAGGTTGTCTGTAAAATCAGGAACACCCCCGGAACACCCCGTGACCCGCCCTGAAACATCCTTAATTCCAAAAACAGGCCAACAAAAAAAAACGGATCACTAAAATATCATAACTGAATCAATAAATATATCTTTCATCTGTAACTTAAAAATAGGAGATTAGTTTAGATTGACGAATTCACGCTAAAATATAGCGTCATTTAACTCGCGAATTCCTTGCCTGTTATCCTACTTGCAAGACAGAATTTCACGAGCTTGGTTAAGTCTGGTTTTCCTGTTTCTTAGAATAACCAGGCTTACCAGACTTACCAGGAATACCCTGGTTAACCAGGCGTTTTGTACATACCGTATTTATTCGAATAAGCGCCCAGCCTCGAATTAGCGCCCACCCCTACCCCACCCCCTCCCACTGCCACTCTAACTGAAATAGGCGCCCACTCCCTTACACCTACCACCCCGCAAAAAGGAGTAAGTACTAATAACCCACTTGCCCGAAGACGGAGTTATCTTCAGAGTGTTTTGCAGAAACCTTGCTTTGTTAAATCTTCGCGTTTTGTTATTACCATTTACTGTTTTGTTGCAAAATATACATGTTACACTTCTTGAAAATGGTGAAAATTTAATAAGCGCCCAGCCTCGAATAAGCGCCCACCTCGAATTAGCGCCCACTCTCAAGGTCCAAAAATTTAATAAGCGCCCAGGGCGGTTAATCGAATAAATACGGTATGGTAAAGTCTGGTAAACCTGGTTCATTTAAAACTTTAAGAGCCTGGTTAAAGTCTGGTTTTCCTGGTTCTTAGGAAAACCAGGCTTACCAGACTTACCAGGAATACCCTGGTTAACCCGGCGTTTTGCACATATGGTATAGTCTGGTATGCCTGCTTTGAAAACCAAAAAAGTCTGGTTGGTTCAACCAGGCTTGCACCCTGGTAAACCCTGGCCTGTTTAACCAGGCTTTTGGCGTGGAATTATATGTACAGTGACACTCCACGGTACTCAATCCGAGTCAAAACTTTGGAATGACATCCTTGAAAAGAACCAGGATTTTTTGAGAATTACTTTACCCACAAGTTGCAACAATACAACTTAACTAATTTGTCAAAAGTCTCACCGCCAAAATCTTTTTCCTCTAAGTTTGCTAGTGAAGGAGCGTTAGCTTCGGTTACTCCAATCCCATGATCAGCCCTTCTACAGCTTGAACCCCCTCCACCAATCATCATCACTGATCCATCTCCGGCACCCCAGCAGTGACACCAAAAGCCAATCGAATTGGTGTCTTGCATTTCTCCGTTACAAGTAGCTTGTTTAAAGCCTTCGGTTGTTTGGTACTGGCCCCCAGATTAGACACTACATCGTCCCAAACATTGATCTCTGGACAAAACTTTACCGTTTCTGAAGTCACTATAGTTTGTGATTTTGGACCTAAACGTCTCAGTCCAGTTAGACAGAGATTTGTGGTTTTCAGAAGGGCAGTGTGCTGAGGGTCGCGTGAGGGTCGCCTGATCTTAAACTCAATTCCGCTGACAAGCAAGAATGCTGAAGAAATCATGTCAGTATTGTGTGATGGATCATTTCCATTACCAGAAATTCGAGTCACCGATCAAATTTCCTCAACATTAAACTTTAAAAATGGCGGCCCGAGGCTACAAAGGATTGTATGGGATAAACCACAAAATTTCAAATATCTTGTGTGTCAGGAAAAGCAGCCTACTTCCCCTGATCTTAACCGAACAATCACTGTGTCGGTTCTCATGATAAGGCTTTTTAGGTGGTTTACAGAAGATAACTTGGACAAAACTCGTTTCCTAAAACACTCTCAAATTTTGGTAAATATTACTCACCGAAAACTCCATTTTCGACCGCAAATCTTGCGTCAGGACATCTTCCTTTGATCTCCTTAGCTCAGCTTAGCTTCGTGATAAATTAATGGCCCAGATTCGCTTTGGAATATTCCGTCAATCGATGGAAAACCTCGGACAAATCGGAAGGTTTGATAGTAAAATATTTCGCCTCTTCACTCGTGACCGCCATCGTGCGATTCGGTCAAAAATGGCTTCAGAAATCGCTAAAACTTTCGACCTTTTCACTGTTTGCCATGCTAGAACATACGTAACCAGGCAGTTTAAGGTAAGAACGCGATGTATGGGGAATTGTAATGTACCCAATTATTGGTTTTCACATGACTTCACTAAAATTCAAACTAAAAAACTATCGATCCTACCGAGATTTTACTTTCACGACGCATTAGAGCAGCTGAAAACTAATTTTCATACAAATTTTCGCCTCAAAAGGGTTCTTGGTTTTTTCATAGAGTACGCTTGGTTTTCTAAGCTTTTGCGTGACGCGGCATTTACATGACGGCAAAGAGAGCTGTCATGTAGGTTAAAAAAATAACCTATTTCAGGAAATTTTGCAATTTAAATAGTTCATGTATTAGAAAAAGTATTACTTGTAATGTTTATGAGTTTCTCGAACAATAAATTCACGCTTTTGTAGCAAAACTCGCTAACAGATGTTTCTGTTGGTTTCTGTCCGCTATTGGAGCTCATCCAGCCGGTGATCCAGGTCGGCACCAACATGACGTCTCCATACAAATCTCTATAAGTTTGGGTAAAACATTTCTTCGGATATCTCGTATACGAAATATTCCTCTGACCTGAATCCTGGCGAGGGTCGCTGTATATGTACCTCCTTTCATTTCCCAGATTCTGAACTTTATCTATTGAACGGTTTTGATTTCTATTTTGATCTATTTTGAAAGGCGTGACACTGAAAACCAGCAATATATCTTCGAACTACCAGCCCTCATAAAAATTTCAAGAACCCGAAGGACGAAACTAAACTAGCCTTGTCAATTGAAATTGCTCATTTTTTTTTCTTTAATTATTATTTCCTTTTTTTAAAGGAGGTTCCAGATTCACGGAAGAAAGGTTATAAAGAGCAACATAGTCTACCCGCTCAAATCTCCCTGATGAATGCGCCATTTTATTTTGGCCATATGATCCCACCGAGTATGCTTTGTAGATTTTCGATAGACCGCAGGAATAAAAGTATCGCATGAACGAAATGACTCGAATTTCTGGTAATGTTTCCCCAGAAGCAACATTCTTGTCATACCACCATAGTCCACTGTCTTTCATCCAACGTAAGGTATCACTATTAGAGACCGAGGGACCGGAGTCCATCCGTGATCACAAGTCATATCGCAATAAACCTAACGCGAAAAGAAAAAAAAAAAAGGAACAAAAAAATCTCTCGTAGCCCGAAAACAGGACGAAGATTAAGAACTCCCTTTCGTGCTTGAGCCAAGGCGCTTACACAACGCAAGATAAGTCCTACAACTACTCTTATTTCGCCTTTTGTTGTCAATCAAAGTGTTGGCGGATTCATGCGCATCGATGAGGAGAAAAAGATCCCCGCTAACGTTAAGTAAAGGTTTAGTATGGGTGTTGCTCTCAATTTTGACAAGTCTGCCGAGTTGGTGACACAGCATACACAGCCTCTGTGATGTCTGGTAATACCTCTTTTTTCAAAGCCCCTTAATTCCTTTCTTGACGATCGTTAAGGCGGTAGCCTGTGTAAAGACGGCCCCTCTCCCCTCCTCATCGAAAAAAAATTGGCGTCTATACACAGGCTATAAGGTGGAGGCGTTCGAGCCCTTTGTCGCGCCATGTAAGGTAATACCAGCGCCGTACAATTCAACCAAAAGTTCCGGTTTAAATGTTCTGACATTCCACGTGCCCAATGGAAAGGTGCATTTCGGTTGCACAGCCCCGAACCAAACCACCTCGCGTTTGGTTTTTGTTCTTGTAAGCAGAATACAAAATAGCGGTACCGAAATGGCCTGATCCAATTGGATGTACCAACGGAAATTTCCGGAACTGGGTTGAATGGAAGGAGACCCAAGACAGTCTTGGTTTGTACAGTGGATTGATTGTTGTTGTTATTGTTTTCATTTGTGTACATAGATTGGAGAGATTGGCACTGTTCAGACAATTTTTGGATAGTAAGGCTGGTTAATTTGCTTCATAGCGGATATGACTTTATTGGGAGTGGATAAGGGGCCCATCTAAATGAGGAATATTAGGTTAGGTTTACAGGTGCGAGCCACCTTTTAACCGAATTTTGACCGTAGCTTAAAGCGGTTTTATAAACTTCAGCGTGACATGAAGTACACTTGCTTAAACTTGGTTATTATTCAGCATAAATAATCAGCATAGCTGATGGGATTCAAATTTGAAGTCGCTTTCCTAGCTTCAACGTTAACTTTACCGGAGCAGAACGGCCGTTCATTAGAACTGATTATCCCCTCAAGGGCGACCTATCTATTCCTGCCCCCAAGCCCCTACCGTTTGAATACTTTTTAACAGTTCTTGCATGGTGCGAGACTTTCGACGTCGATGAGGGATAACAATTTCACACGACCTACATGTACAGTTACTAACTCTTTATTTTCCCTTTACAAAAAGAAACCCCAGGAAATTTTCAAAGCTGCAGAGAATGCTTCATTCTTCATGATGGCTTAATTTTGTCTAAACTTGACGCCTCACTCCAGGTGTCATGCTGAAAAGGAAATATAAAAGCAAACCAGGTTAGCTATAGACTTTGCTGTCTTAGAAATTTGCAATCAGGAAAATTTCATTCAGTGACTGATCATGCAGTGTGCTCGCAAAATATCCTTCAATTTGTCCGTGTGAAAAAAAAAGACCTGTTTTTAAGTACCATTTGAAAAAAAAAACTATTTTTGAAAAGTTCTTTAAGTCGAAATGTCATTGAAAATAAAGCAAGATCTTCTATAGTGTCAACATTCAATACCCATTGATAAGACAATCACGGGTAAGTTATGCACTTTTATTTTTCACATTGCAAAGAACATTTAATTTTACTTATTTATTTATTTATTTATTTTTTTGTTACCTGCGACAACAAGTTTCTGTATTGCTTGAATTTGCTCCTGAGTCAAAGCTCGGTTGTAGATCCGCATCTGAGCAATTCTGCCTTTGAAGTAACTGCCAGCCTTCACACCTATTCTGATGCTATCCTGTGTGGCCAGTTCAAGGCCCGCTCCAATGTTTAACGTCTGAACCACAGCTCCATTGACCCACAGTTTGGCTTCGCCAGAAGAACGGTCGTAAGATGCGCCAACAAACTTCCATCCACCAGCGAGATTGGTATGCACCAAACGGTTGGTATTCGAATAATCTCGTTTTCTGAAATGGACCGCAAGTTTACCGGAATGGGACATCCCGAATTCAACAGCCCAGGTTGAACCGTAGCTGAAAAGCGGTCCGTGTTTGCCATCATAGTACACCCAGCACAGCATAGTCATCGAATATCGCACATCCAAAGGTCCTCCAATACTGTTGGGAAACTTGATGTAGCTGTTGGAGCTTCCAGAAAACTTATAAGAGTAGTTAGGTCTTCCATTGGGCCCAGGAGCCAGGATAACACCTCGAGGAATCCCTTTTTCCGTTCGGTTGTCAATCTCCTTGGTACCGTACGCAGCATTAAGGGGGAAGAAGGCGACCGGATCTGGAACTTGATAAAAAAAAAATTATCATTTTAAAGAAACTGAATCTTGACTGGCAATGGGTCTATGAGAAAAGATCGACGATCGGTATCAGCTCGCAAATGGAAAAAATAAGGTATACAATCAGGGAACAACAGGATATCTTTGCAACTCAGTGTGTTATACGTGGTCAAGAACCATAATAGGACAGAGAGGGAGTCTGAGGGCGTTGGCTGGGATATCTTTATTTTAAAAAAGTTATTTTTAGAACTATGCGGACCACGCGGAAACAGTTTCCGGTAAACTGGTTGACTTCCGGAAGACTCGCTTTCAGGATTGAACTCCCCAAAGCGAGGCGGAGTAAGCAAATGACAAAAATGGCGGCCTAAGTGGAAAGACTTTGAGTTGATAAATTGTCCTACTTCAACGAAGAATCTACCATAGAAATTGGTTAAAACTGCTACACAGACTGGTCCTTTACAAGCAAGCATAGAAATACAGTTAAGGCGACCACGTGACCATCGTTTTTGTTGGAACAGCTGGAAAGAGAGAGGACAAGTAGCCTTGAACACAAAACTCGCGGGTCCTACAAAGGCGACCGTAGAACCGGCCGTGTGGACGAACGTGTGAACGTGTTTTCTCTTGAAAGAGGAAGAAAAAAACCTATAAAGGTTTCTAGTATTTTTCTCAAGGACATGACCAGGAATCTTGGGAACACACCTTTTCCCGCTCTACTGATATTTTGTTTCGCACTTCACATTGGACAATTAACAATTATTCTTTATTAAACACGAGATGAATAGAAGCTGAACATTCTCAGCGGGGTAAATACTCCTAAATCAGTAAGGAAAAGATTTATGTTTAATTTGATTAACATGCGCAAAAGTTTGATCTTTACAGAATTTTCAAAAATTGCAAATCAAATCGCAGTTTACACGTAATCCTTTGGCAAACAATAGCCTAATGCTTTATATGGAATCGCCAGAAGTTTAAATTGTACTTCCACGCCTGAAAAGAAAAGAGCAGCTTTGTTTTTAACTGTCGACTGGCCAAGTTAGGGAAAAGGTTGTTTTTACAGCTTGTGCTGTTCTTCGCAAGTGCAGACAATGGTGGCCGGTTGCTCGAGGTAAGGCACCGTTCCTCTGTGCTATTAAATTGAAATCTCGAGTTTTAGTAAAGATTTACTTTGATTTTTTTGTCACAAGTTGAATTTGATTTCTGGGAAAAATTCGCCTGTAAAGGAAATGTTGAGTTTACAAAACCACCTTGACTTCTACTCGATTAAACTGTAATCTTAACTGTAAACATTCCATCGAGCAAAAAAGACTGCTTTAGTTAATCGGAAAACACTTTTTTGAATACTTTGAAGTCTTTTCTTACCTTCAAAAAATCAGCCCTAGGATTTATTTTGACAAATTTTGAAAAGTTCTTACTCTAAACAAATTGGGAAAAACATAGGCAAAACACCGAGCTTTTATTGCTCCAGAATGTCTCCCTCAACCATCTGCATAAACTGATCAACCCACCTGGGTACCACACTTTTTAGATGAGTTTTCTAAACAAACTTGACCTAATTAAGAGGTTCTTATAGATTTTCATCTTACAGTGATACTGCCATTTTTGACTTAAAGCCTTCCTTAATGAACATGAGGATCCGCAAGTGACTTTTTTTTGCGATCAGCATGATTTCTTAGTAGCTACGGACCCTTTGTTTTCAAAAGGTGACCAGAGAATTTCCTTCTGTGGGAATTTAATTAGTAAATTAATTTCTGGCCCAAAAACGTAATCCGATAAGGTGTAAACCTTGTCATATGCCACTACAGTAGTAATCCTTTTGAAAGCTCAAAACGTGATCAAGATAGTAGAAAACCAGATGAAAATACAACGGCTATCCATTAATATGCTGAACAAATGGAGCGTGGCCCAGTTTCAAGTCAAATTAAAGCTCTCTTGAGTTTATAGCCAGCAAAGATCCGCATGAAATAAAATTGAAGCATTTAAGTCGTTCAGATGTTGCTGATCAGTCGTTGGAATGGAAGTCGTAATTAAAAAAAAAAAAATCGGAACTCGGAAATCGGAAGTCGGAAGATGGAAGTCGAAAGTCGGAAGACCCTCCTCGCCTTTCGTACTTGTCCAATCCAATCCATCAGTTTTTTCGGCCGCTTACATGAAGTTTGAAGCTTGACTTTATTTATTAATGACCATTAATAAATATGTAGCAAATCGAAAACTGAATTAAAATTACACAGATCTAATCATTCTATCTATTTAATTCTACCTGGAGTTATAAAAACCGGGTTATAGCAAACATTTTGTAATTTCTCTTAACTTCCCCTGTCTCATGATAGCTCCTTTACTGAGTTGTTTGCTCGGGTTTTTTTTTTTTTTTTTTTGTTCGTTTTGTGGTCAGGGATTTCTGTTGAAGTGGCTGTAGAAAGAATTTTTTTTCATTTTCCTTGAGCGGCCCGTGAGGGCAACGCCCAATCATAAAATGGAGGCCAACTCGTCTGTGCAGCAAAAAGACAAAATGGCGGACGGAACTCCCAGAAGGCTTTGCGTGTCCCATTCCTCTTCAATGGGGCCGATTTCTGCGGAGAGGGGACGGGTCATTTCAGGTCATCTGGCGAAGTGATTTGGAACGAACACAAAATTATTGCGTGAAGTTATTAAGCCTATATCTACGCCGAATAATTATCTAAATACAGCATTTGAAAGTAGATCAGTTAGCTTGCGCGGGAGCTGCAGAAACAATCCCATCCCAAGATCCCCAAGGGAGAAACTTTAACCCGTTGCAACTCTCTCCCTACGTGTGAATCGAAAGTAACAAGAAGGAATACACTATTTGTATATCGTCCCGTTGAAGAGAAACATGTTCACGTGGATAGTTAGAAGGTCTTTAAGAGCAGATGTCAGTAAATACCGACCAGAGAGCATCGGCAAAAGCATCTTTGGCTGGTCTCAAACGGCGACGGAGATTGCATTATTTTTAACAGATTGACCGCTTACCTGTTTTTGGCCTCGTATTTCGACGCAACACTTACGACTGGCGTTGCGCGCGGCACTGATACTTTATGACCAAGTTCTGAAATCTTCTTCACGAGACATTTAACTGAATTTATGATAAAAATGCTTTCTTACGAATCGGAATATGTCCTTTTCTTCAAACTCCATTTACGACTCCCTCGCGTACGTTCCGCTTATGAACTAGTGAAAACCAGATTAACGGAGTCGGAAGCAGAAGCGGATGGATAAACCAATCACAATGCACGTTTACACGCTTTGTGATTGGTTTAGTTCTTCCTTAGTCTCCCTCGCAGCCGTTTTTTGGATGTCACGCAACGCTGCGTGACATCCAAAAAACGGCTGCGAGGGAGACTAGTTCTTCCTCTTCTGCTTCCGACTGCGACAATCAATCTGTAAGCGACAGAGTTGTAAGCGGGATGGGAACGCTGTTTTCACTAGATCATAAGTTCTTAACGCTTCTGATTACGACTCTGACTCCATGAAAACCAAATCTCTTGTAAGATTTTGTGCTGATTTTCCAAGATCTTCATATCCTTTTTCAATCTAGCATTTCAACTATAACTCCATGATACCAATTTTCAGCCTATTTTTCCTTAACTCGGCAGTCGTCAAAATCTTATAAGAGTTTAGCTTCATTTCTACTTTGGTTAAATCAATGCACATTCGGTCCGTCCATCGTGTCCTACCATGGTGTAATCCTTCCTTCACTCATTTTGTTCGGCTTTTCGCTTTTTAAAATTCGCTGAGGGGGCGGTAGTTTGTATTCAAGGTTAAGTATAAAAATTACGACAACGAGCTCCAGAAAACCGCCATTCTTTATTTAACTGACCTTTAGATTATAAATAAAGTATTTTCTCCTACCTTGGCAAGTTTTTCCATCGCCACTGTATCCAGCCTGGCAGATACAGTGGTACGATCCACGAGTATTGGAGCAAATGGCATTAACGTCACATACAGAAGGAGAAGCACTGCACTCATCAATGTCTAAGAAAAACAAACTTTGGTAAAAAAAACTTTCCTAATGGATGTCCAATCCATGCGGAAAGCACTAGGGGATTAAAATTCCTCAAAAGGGAAACAAAATGTTGCTGAGTTTTTATCTGGCTGCTCATTGTTAGTGCTGTCATCAACAAAAACGTGCAGTCTTCAGTAGCTACATGTATAGCACGATGCACTTTTTTTTAAATTTCCCTTTTCTTTTTTCTTAGGTTTCTCTTTCGTGCTAGTAGGTGGGCCTTTCGACGGACGATGGTGCTAAGTAATCTAGTAAAACATCACTTTTGTTAAATAACTAACTTTAAAGGTTACATTTACGCGCGGCCCCTAAAAGAAACGTGGTCCACAAGCATCCCGATATTGTGTAATACTGAGAAACTATAATGCGAATCTCATTATTAGTCGCCATCTTAAATGATGTCACACTTTCCTAGAAAACTACCATCTTTAATGGTAGAGCAGTAAAATAACTATACCTAGTTCAAACCCTGTTAAATAAAGTATTTTCTCCAACCTTGGCAAGTTTTTCCATCACCACTGTATCCTGCCTTGCAGGTACAGTTGTACGATTGTTGATTGATAATTATACTTCTTAACCTTATTACTTATACTTAGCTTACTCCTGTCATTTAGATATACTTAAATAACTCTGAATTTTGTTTGTAACTGGGTAGCCTGAATGTAATAAGCCCCCTGGTTTTCTATCCGGGCTGCCCTGCCACTTTTAGTGGTAATCTATCTGATCAATAAATACTAAATTATGTCACACGTCTCTGGATCGAGCTGCCCTGTCTCTGATGGTACTGCAGTAAACCCGGCGTATCTAATCGAACGGTTCAGTAATCGAACATAATCGAACGTTTGATTACCGAACGATCAACGAGTCGTACTCAATTAAACTTGCCATTGCTGAACTCCTGTTTGCTTGTTGTTTATGATTAAATATTATAACGGATGAAAAGCAAAGTAATAACAATTAAAAAAAAGCCTAAATGTTACCCTATTAACAAGTGTATAGTTTGCGGAAATTTTGTACGGTGACCAGTCCCCCTAATCCTCTTCGATCCTGTCACGTCACTCTTGGCCACCCTTGAGGGCTAAGAAAGAATTATGGCGACAGCGTTTTGGTTGCTCATGTGCATAATTACTCCAGCGTGATCTACTTAACAAGAAATGCATTCTGAACAAAATCGAATCGGACTGAGTTCGATTGCATTATATTTTGTTCGATTGGTTCAATAATCGAACTCAGCAAAATAGATGTTCGATTATATTCGATTACCGAACCGAATAGAACAATTGGTGTTCGATTGGGTTCGATTGAATTTTATAATAATAACAATAATGATAATGAAGTCTCATGTCTTATTTCTCAGGCACAGTGCCTTACTAATCGGGGAGACTGAATTTTGGTTCGATTTTGTTTGATTTGATTCGCCGGAGTAAACTAACTTCCCTTCAAATTAACTTGTTTATATATCAAAAAGTTTTTTCTCCTACCTTAGCAAGTTATTCCATCGCCCGTATACCCTTCCTTACAGGTGCAGTAAAAAGATCCACGAGTATTTGAGCAGTTAGCGTTGATGTCACATACAGGAGAAGAAGCACTACATTCGTCAATGTCTACACAAACAAACATTATTGAGCGACATTTACCCCTACATAAGACCCCAAGAGTACTCAGTCCTATCTAACATACGTCTGCTAGAAGCCGTTTTTAGTAGGGACTTAAAGATCCAAGGCTCCGACGGCAACGAGAACGTCGCTTAAAATGTGAATTTGCGTTCTTTTAGTCTTTATCGCAATTATTCCTACCCACTTACTTTGCCAAATGTAGGGGAACCCTCCTGGAGTTGAATTCCTAGGGACCATATCCAAGTGCAGAGAGAGAAACAAACTTTCGTAGTTGCTTCTTTACGTACTCCATAAAACGCGAAACTAGGCATTTTCACGTCGTGGTCGTGCAAAAACGGGCAAAGAAACGTACAAAAAAGAGTTATGCCACCTGAAGACTTGTTGTTTTACTCATTAAACCTATCGTTTTTTTACGTTCTTGTTGCCGTCCGCGTCGTTGGATCTTAAAGTTCTTATTGTCGATCGTTATGCGACGACATTAAAACACGGCTGTGTAGCAGACTAATCTAACCTGAGTTTTTGCTCTTAAAATTTCCTTTTTCCAAGTCTTATTTTGTGTGTCCGAGTAGTTTACATCTCCTGGTTAACCTTAGTCAGCGATGCGGCGTAATAAAAAACCCGAAGATTTTTTCATTTTATCTTTTCAGTTGTCATGACAAATAACAGACAAAAAGGAAAGTTGCATTTGTTAGAGGGCTCAAGAATCAGTCGACGATTATGAAACTGACTAAACTCACCGTTGGTCTTCATATTGCAATAAGCCAGAACAGATGTACCAGATTTTATAGTGGAAAATCAGTATTTTCCGCTAACAGCGTGACCTTCACTGCTCTTTATTTCTTCAAAAGTCTCAGCTGGCAGTTCTTGAATCGAACCAACAATTCTCCATCAATTTATCATAATGCCCATTTTTTTGGTTCTAACGGCGAGAAGTAGAAGGAAAAGGAAAAAGGTCAGTAAGGAAAAAAAAATATACAAGTATAATAAGAATATACAATAATTATATAAACAACAAATTAAAACAAAACGCAATTATGACAAAAATCGAAAAAAACGAAAAAAGGAATCGAACTCAGAACATCCTATTTTTCGCGCGGGAAGCTAACAATGAGGGGGCTATAGATAGTGTATAGAACATAGGTGAAAAAATTTTAAACACAAGCCTAAGCTTCAAGCAATTTCTCTCTTTAAATCTTTAATCAGATAATTACGCTCAGAATCAGCCCATTGCACCGGTTCTTGTTGCATTCCCATGACAACGCTAATCTTAAAAAAAATCAGCATAATTCATATGATCAGACGGAAAATAAGAGTTTTAAAAAAGGACTCTTACTTTTGTTGAAAAGTAGAGCTGTAACTTCTATAAATAAAGGTTCGTCAATTAATGGTTTACAGATGGTGACGAGATATTGACTCCGGAAGATACTCAGACGACAAATATTTCTTACTGAAACCAGAATTGCTTGAAACTTTCACTTTAATTTGGTATTTCTCTCCACCCACATCCCGCCAAATACTAATCTTAGTAAGTGTATTAAAAGTTAAAGAAAATCTTTGATCGTTAAAACTAGGGAAAATAAAAGACCCGTATATTAAAGCCAGTGATATTACCATGAGCAAACTTAAAAAGAACCTCAGAAAGTAAGAAACAAGCACTTGGAGTTTTGCCAAGAAACATAAAAAAGTCAAAACTGCAAAATATGAAATTTCGTACCATGCAGTTTCCTGAGAGTAGATTCTACGAATAATTTTTGATATTCGCAATAGCTCAGCGTGCACTGGGTTTTACCGATCACGCGCCGAATTTCTCTTCTGCTTACTGACAAGCACATCAAGTTTTAATTTTGTTATCGATACTGTCAAATGGAACAATTAATTAACGGCCCGCGACCGGCTAATGGACTAAAACGTAAATGTCATCAGCCCACGGCCGGCATCAGCTATTTACCATGCCCCGCTCGTTCAAAAAGTGGGTAACGGTAATCCATCGGCCATGATCGGATAAATCTGTATTCACTGCTGATAGTGCAATTGGTTTTCCTAACACCTATCCACTGGATAGCGATTTATCCAGTTGATAGCGCTATCCATCTTTTGAACAACCAGGGCCAGGAGGGTAATTTGACTAACGAGATGGAGATCGCCTATTATAAAGAAGTTAAAATTTTCAATTGGCTGCCGCAAATAATAACTTTTACAAAGGCATATTAATCAATTATTTAATATGTCTATAAAATAATGTTTAGTAGGGAAATTTTACTTTAACCGTAAAATAGGTTGTAGAAAACTACGCACTATTATGCTTTTTTTCCCCAGAGTTTTCTTCATTTTATAGCTTTTAAAGAACGCAAACACTAGACCAGCCGGATGATGTCATCAAATATAAAAATTCAAAGGTGGCCTTACACCTTACTAAACTAACGGCAAGCCATGAAATACTGATTACAAATACACATCAGGAGACTGAAAACTCCAACAAAATACCCTTTCGATAGGCTTAAAACTAAGAATCATTGAAGTTAGGTTGACAAAAGAAATCCTCGACAGTTTCTAGGGCGGTATTCCATTTTTTTAAACCGTTTTCCCAAGGTACTTTCTATGATGAGTTCAACAGAGAGTACGGTGCATGTGTCCCCGATAATGAATTCGACTTTAAAAACATATCAACCCTCGGACGTACACACAAATTCATACCCCCCACCGTGGTACATTTAAGGAGAGGGAAGCGGATGGTGGATGGTGGATGGAACTTCTCCCCAGAGTTTTTGATATGTTGCAGTATTTCGAAACGATTTTTGAAAGTTATTGATCTTAAAACCACCGCGGCGGTTAGTGGTATTTTTTTTTTTTTTTTGTGCTTTTCATGAAAAATAACACATAAATAAACACTATGCGTGATTTACTTTTATTGTTGAAAGAAACGGAAAGAAAAACATCTATTTTCACCCGAAAATGGCTTGAACACCTGCTACATATGACGTCATATCTCCTAACCATAGCAACTGACCATAACTAAACTTGTCTTAGAATGCGCGCGAGAAATAAACAAACAGCTACTGAAAACGTCAGGTGCTGGTGTTTTATCATATAGGAAAAAACTTAGAAAAAACTCACGGGGGAGTGGCAACCAGCCCCCCCCCCCACTTGTACTTCCGAGGGTTAATTACGACCCATAACCATTTCTCTTGTATTAATTTGAAATATTAAGATATTTTACAACAAACCCAATGCAAATGTTGTCATTTAGTTGAATACATTATTTGCAGAGTATCAAGTTCATATAGTAAAGTAAACTGATCATCGGAAATTGGCTTTCTCAACACTTTGGCCACCGGCCAGTTCGCTCCCACTCAACTCAGCAGTTACATGTATCTATTTACTTTATCTACTTACATCAATAAAAAACTGTGCCAAAAAAAAAAAAAAAATGAGGATCAATGCTGAATTCCTCTTGTATATCCTTTCCCTTATCACATACAGAATCTGGGGCTAGAATAAAAAGTTCAGTTCCTTTGTTCACAATTACATTAGTGGGTCAACTGACTCCGATAACAAACATATATCAAACAAAACTGACTTTTAAAGGTGGAAAAGCAGGTTCGGCCTCTCGCCTAGATTCAAGCCTTTTTAAGTTGGGGTAAGAGATGAGAGGAGAGAGTTATTTTAAAGGGATTGTTTAGGTCTCAGTTTTCGAGGCATATACATTTACTTAGTCATTATTAATCATATCTCACACCACCACTGGTTGTTTTCGATGGTCACGTTTCCCTAGGTCATCAAGCGATTTTCTACAGCCAGGTGTCTAGAGCCCTTCTTAAGATCTTTGCTGTTCCCACTCGCCCAACCCGTAAAATTGCCCATCGTTTCGTACTATAGTCTCGGCAATACAAACCGTAGAAGGCGTTAAATTTCTGGCGCAATGGATATCACGATTCCAAAGAAATCATCCCAATTATTTATTACTTTATTGTTCAGTACTAATTTGAAAAAGCATTTGGTGAAATACTCCTTACCATAATTATGGTTTTTTTTTGTTTTTTCAAGAGCGCCTAGAGTTGACAAAGTTGCACTGGTACTTCAATTACACAGGACGGAAAGCCAATATTCGTACCCTCAAGATTTCGTTCAGGGTTGTGTGAAGGGTTTTCTCAAGCCTTAGTCTGGCCTTGAGCTATGTCCAGGTTGTTCTCCTTAACATGGTTTAATTCCAATTTTCCGACGAGCATCCCCGTCATATTATAGAGATTAAGATTCACAGTTTATGCCAAACGGGAGACCTGAACTTGTACCAAGTGACCAAGTTTTCCCTTATTTTCCGTTAACTCTTTATTGCTTCCACCAATGATAAGTAGTTTTAATGCCAGTTTTAACCATAGGAATCGTTCAGGACTGTTTTTATCTGCTTAATATTTTCTATTCTGAGAAATTCTCAACTTGATTGTGACGTTTGCCGTTTTTGGTAAACGAGAATCGTAATCTCTCTATTGGGAGTGCTACCCCATCCTCTCCTCCAAAGGGTGGGGTTTTTGCGCCGTTTTGGTCAGAAAACGGGTATAGGCTTTGCTCATTTTGGTCTGGAAACGGGTATGGTTTTCGAACTGAGGTAGCCTGGGGCCAGGCTGGCGCAGTGGGGAAAAAGGCAAAAAACGGGGTCAGATAGGAAAACTGTGGGTAAAAGGGCGACCACCCTTTACCCTCCACAGACTACCTCTTGGCTCTCTTCGCTAGCTAGCCTTTGTTTTTTTTTTTTTTTTTTTGCCCCTCGCCGATTATTTTTCATTGCCCCCAATGCGGAGCCTGCCCCAGGGTAAGCTCAGGAAACTACAGGAACGTATGAATTAAGTATTTATTGGTTCAATTCGAAAGAAAGAAAGATAAGTATTCAAATTCAAAATGGAATTTAAGAAGTCTTTTTTGTTGGCGTTCTAATCTAAGTAATGATGACATGATTTATTAGAGGCCAGGTCAGGCCAGGTCAACGGAAGTGAAAAATGACATTTGTTGGTCTGAAATGTCAGTGCCAGGATTTGGAAATAGGAGAACCGGTAGCTAGCTTAACTTTAAGGGATTGTTTAAGTATCATCTTTCAAGTGATATACAATTTAGTTATGTTTTTTTTTCTTTCCATATCAACGACCGATCGAGTCACGACGCGATCGAGCGAAAGAGTTATCCGCGCGTTTTCACGCGACCGCTTCAAGTTTGTTTAATTTATTCAAACTAACTAGTCAATCATCACACAAAACGTTTACTGTAGAATTATAGAATGATTTACTTCAGTAGTACATGTCAAGAGCCATTATAGCTCTTGTACAAATCTCTTATGGCTACCCACCTTTCTCCTGACACCTTTTCTCGTACAAACAGTGACATATTCGAAAATGTTTTTGTTTTACAATATACCACTAAATTCATTCGATTTTCCTACTTCTAAACCAAAAATTAAAAAAAAACAGGTTTCTTCAACTCATAATTGTGGTCAGAGTAGCAATCAAACGTGCGATCACTGATCTTTCAGTCACCAAGTGTGGGATCACCCCTTGTGAGGGAATCCGGGAACGTTTTACATGTGGAATCCTGGATCTTAGAAATATTTGCTTGTGTAATCCGGAATCCTGGCCCTTGGAATCCGGAATATAGCTATAGGAATCCCGAATCCCACTAACAATTGGAATCCGGAATCCAAATTTCACTGGAAAATCGGGAATCCACGGCGTGGAGTTCAGTCTCGGATTCCCTTACATTGTGCGAGTCGGTGAAGATGCAGTACTGGACTCACATATTTCTCGTCGAAAAAAGCTAGAATTAAGGGAAAGTTCATTTAATATGACAAGGGGGGAAGGGGGGATGAAGATATTGAAACTCGAAGCTTGAAATTTTAGCAGCCCCCCTCGCTAGCGGTTCAATTTTTTAGGAGTCCCCTCCTTGGAGTCGAAAAAATTTCAGAGCCCCCCCCATCCTCCTTCAATTTCTTTGCTCCCCTGAAAAAAGATCGCTAGACTGTATTAAATATATTTACCGTTATTGTCTTCAATGGTTTATACTATGACAAACTTGAGATGCAGTTGTGATGAGATCCCTGCATTTTTGGGATGAACAAGAGTGTAATAATTACTGAGACTACATTTGTTATATCTGTAAACCACGTGATATAGCTGAGTTGCACAGGTCATTAAATTGTTGAGTTGAAAACCATCCGATCTGTATGATGATGTCATGTGTTGGTTTTGAAGTATACAAATTTTCGGAGCCCCCCCTCCTAGCGCAACAATTTTTTCAGAGCCCCCCCTTCAGGTGTCTAAAAATTTTCGGAGCCCCCCCTCAATATCTTCATCCCCCTCCCCCCCTGTCATATTAAATGAACTTTCCCTAAACACTGTTAAGGAGTACAACCTGGACATAGCTAAGGCCAGGCTCAGGCTTTATTCAGTGAATCCTTAAGAAGATCACACGCGCAGTTAAGGCATTAGATAATTTTTTTATTTAGGTATTTCTTTTCACACAACCCTAAGCGAAACCCTCTGTAGGCAAGGATATTGGATTTACGTCCTGCGCAATTGAGGTACCAGTGCAACTTTGTCAACTTTAGGCGCTCTTGAAAAAGATAAACATAATTAAGGTAAGGAGTATTTCACTAAAGTTTTTTTCAAATTACCACTGAACAATAAAGTAATAAATAACTGGGATGATTTCTTTGGAATCGTGATATCCATTGTGCCAGAAAATTTAACGCCTTCTACGGTTTGTATTGCCGAGACTATAGCATGAATTGTACTACGAAACGATCCAAACGATCGAAACTTTCGAAACTGTAGATCGTTTTGTTAAACGAACGCTTCACACACCTTATCCTAAACTTTGTAAATGGTGAAGGATGGAAATATACACTTTACATGCAGAAAAAGCAGAGATTCTCAGGCAACTTTTTACGTTTGTCCTTGCATGATTACCTTTTGCTGCCTCAGAGTAAATTATCGGCTGGATAAATTCAACGGTACAAATGATGTTCGAATAAATTGAAACATCACAAACTTCTTCCAGGTGAACACTTCTTGCGTTATGCGGGTAGGTCACAATATTATAGGCTGTCTGTAAAATCAGGAAGACCCCGTGACGGGCCGAACCCGCCCTGAAACATCCTTAATTACAAAAATTAGGCCAAAAACAAACGGATCACTAAAATATCATAAATGAATCGATAAATAACAACTCAACAACGCTAAAGATCCTATGGCACATGAAGATCTAATCGAAACAGCGATACATGGTTTTGCAGAATTCTCTGAAGCTGTAAATCAACGTGGCCTTCAGTTTTTACAACAAAATATACGAAGTCTTCGTGGGAAGATGGATGAATTAAATATTTTTACCCAAGGCGAAAGGAGTTTTATTTGGTACTTTTTATAGACCTCAGTCACAATCTGATTTCCTGAATCCGTTTCAAGAGGTTCTTGAGCTTGCAAATGCTGAGAATAAGGAAACATTGATCACAGGAGACTTTAATTTCGATTTTCTGGATGCATCCTCTTCCAATTCAACAAAAGACAAAAAAAACCTCTCCAGTTTCAATTTGAAAGAACTGATTGATAAAGCGACACGAATCGCTAAGGAAAGCTCTACCCTACTTGATTTGTTTGCTACTAATAGTCCTAAAAATGTTACTCTTGCTAAAGTTATTCCATCCACTTTAAGTGATCATGATATGCTTGTTGTGGTCAGGAAAATTAATGCTGGTAAACTTCCTCCACGCTCCATTGAATGCAGAAATTTTTCAAAGTATGACCAAATGACTTTCATTGAGGATTTGGAGAAATGTTCCTGGGATGATGTGAACAGTGAAAGGGATGTAAACTCCGCTTGGTCGAAATGGAAGGAGTTATTTCTATCGGTCTGTAATAAACATGCTCCTATTCGCCATAAAGTGTTGAGGGGAATTATATGTCCATGGTTAACATCTGCAACAAAAAAGCTTATGAATGAACGTGATTCTTTTCTAAGGAAAGCGAGGAAAACTGGATCTGAGGTTGACTGGAGTACATATCGGCGATTACGAAATCAAGTTTCCAACAGGATCAAAATTGAGAAGCGTCGTGATCAGAGAAACGAAATTCAGAATAATTTGGCCAACCCGAAATCATTTTGGAGAGCTATGAAGAGCATTTTCCCAAAAAAAGAGAAAATCTTCGACCGTTCAATCTATAATAACGGACGAGGGTGAAACCATCACTAGTAAATCAACTATTGCCGAGAAATTTAACATCTTTTTCACGAACACTGTGTCCAAGCTCCCGGAATCCGTTCAATCAACTACCATTCTTGGTCTCTCAGATGAAAAGTTTACTAATGAAAGTTTTGTGCTTCAACCAGTTTCCCAAAACTTTATTTTTAAGCAACTGAAGGACTTAAAAGTGAAAAAGGCCACTGGTTTGGATGGGATTTCGGCTCGTTTTTTGAAAGACGGCGCTTCGGTTATCGCTCCTACTGTGACATTTCTTGTAAACTTATCGCTCAGTACTGGAATTGTTCCATGTGATTGGAAGATGGCCCGTGTCGTTCCTTTATATAAGTCTGGTGGACATGCAAGTATGGACAACTACAGACCAATCTCAATATTGCCGGCTATGTCAAAAATTATGGAGAAAGCTGTCAACGTTCAATTACAACGGTACCTACGGAGGTTTGACCTTTTGAGTCCATTTCAGGCAGGGTTTAGACAACACCATTCAACGGAGAGTGCCGTGCTCTATTTCACCGATGAGATAAGAAGAAGTGCAGAGTCCGGAAAGTTAACAGGCGCTTTGTTTATTGATCTAAGGAAGGCCTTTGATTCTGTACCGCACAAGGAACTCTTATCAAAATTGAGAAGATTTGGCTTTGAAGAAAATTCGATTAATTGGTTTACAAGCTATCTATCCGACAGATTTCAAGCTGTTTCCCTGGATAACGAGTTGTCGAGTCCTTTAGCTGTCCAAAGTGGAGTGCCTCAAGGGAGCATCCTTGGTCCGGTTTTATTTACGTTCTATATCAATGATCTACCTTCCTGTGTTGATGTCTGTAAAGTTATGATATATGCTGATGACACAGTTATCTTTTTCTCGGCTCCACTAATATCGGAAATTGAGTTACAGTTAAATTTGGAACGGATTAATCTGTCTGAGTGGCTGTCTACAAATAAACTGATTCTCAATTTAAAGAAGACTGAGTTCATGGTTTTTGGCACCCACCAGAGACTATGTCGCCAAGACATCAATGGGGCTCATATAACGTTGGGAGGAGAATCTGTGAAACAATGTGATGCCCTTAAGTACCTAGGCGTAGTTTTGGACAACAGTCTTTCCTTTAATTTGCATATTGACTATGTGAGGAAGAAAGTTTCGAAAACACTGGGGATGTTCTCAAGAATTAGATCATCAATAACAACTGAAGCATCGAACCGACTGTATAAATTGATGATACTACCAAATTTGGAATACTGTTGTGCTGTTTTTCATGGCTGTGGTAAAGGAAATGAGGAAGAATTGGAACGCCTGCAGAGACGTGCCGCTAGAATAGTGCTAAAGACGTTGCATTTGTCCCCTCAAGATATGGCTTCCAGTCTTGGTTGGGACCCTCTTAAGACGAGAAGAGAGAAACCTATCGTCAAACTTGTCAAGAATTGTCTTGATAGACAAGCTCCAATTTATTTCTCAGATTATTTTCGACGGCGAACTTATGATATTCATGACTATGACACTGGGTCTAAGGATTGGTTATCTATTGATAAAGTCAATCTCGAGTTGACTAAGAGGGCCTTTTTTTATAAGGGGGCTACCCTTTTTAATGATTGTATGTAGTTTTGTTCATTAGGAGGCTACTTTTTCCTTGATTATAATTATGTAATGTATCCTAGTTTCATATATAATTAATGTTTTTATCTTTTTATTCATTTATTTTTATACAGGACCCATACTGATAGCAGTTTTTATAACTGAAATGGTCATCCTGTTTAAACATGTTATTACTATTATTATTATTATTATTATTATTATTATTATTATTATAAATATCCTTCATCTGTAACTTAAAAATCGGAGATTAGTTCAGATTGACGAATTCACGCTAAAATATAGCGTCATTTAATTCGCGAATTCCTTGCCTGTTATCCTACTTACAAGACAGAATTTCACGAGCTTGGTTAAGTCTGGTTTTCCTGGTTCTTAGAATAACCAGGCTTACCAGCCTTAACAGGAATGCCCTGGTTAACCCGGCTTTTTGCACATATGGTAAAGTCTGGAAAGCCTGGTTTGAAAACCAGAAAAGTCTGGTTGGTTCAACCAGGCTTGCACCCAGGTAAACCCTGGTTTAACCAGGCTTTTGGCGCAAGGGAATTATATGTACAGTGACACTCCACTCAATTCGAGTCAAAACTTTCAAATGACATTCTTGAAAAGAAGCAGGATTTTTTTAGAATCACTTTACCCACAAGTTCAAAGAATACTTCTTAAATAAATTGTCAAAAGTCTCACTGCCAAAATATTTTTCGTCTTCTAAGTCTGCTAGTGAAGGAGAGTTACCTTCGGTTACTCCAATCCCATGATCAGCCGTTCTACAGCTTGAACTCCCTCCACCAATCATCATCCCCGATCCATCTCCAGCACCCCAGCAGTGACACCAAAAGCCAATCGAATTGGCGTCTTGCATTTCTCCGTTGCAAGCAGCTTGTTTAAAGCTTTCGGTTATTTGGTACTGGCCCCCATAATAGACACTACATCGTCCCAAACATTGATCTCTGGACAAAACCTTACCATTTCTGAAGTCACTATAGTTTGTGATTTTCGACCTAAACGCCTCAGTTTAGCTAGACAGAGATTTTTGGTTTTTAGAAGGGCAGTGTGCTGAGGGTCATTACTGTGCGTGATCTTAAACTCAGTTACGCTGACAAGCCAGAATGCTGAAGAAATCATGTCAGTATTGTGTGATGGATCAATTGCATTACCAGAAATTCGAGTCACCGATCAAATTTCCTCGACATTAAACTTTAAAATGGCGGCCTGAGGCTACAAAGGATTGTATGGGATAAACCACAAAATTTTAAATATCTTGTGTGTCAGGAAAAGCAGCCTACTTCCCTGATCTTAACCGAACAATCACTGTGTCGGTTCTCATGATAAGAATTTTTAGGTGGTTTACAGAAGATAACTTGGACAAATCGCGTTTCCTAAAACACTCAAATTTTGCGCTCTCAAATTTTGGTAAATATTACTCGCTTTTGTAGCAAAACTCGCTAACAGATGTTTCTGTTGGTTTCCATCCGCCATGTTGGAGCTCATCCAGCCGGTTATCCAGGTGGGCACTAACATGGCGTCTCCATACAAATCTCTGTAAGTTTGGGTAAAACATTTCTTCGGATATCTCGTATACGAAATATTCCTCTGACCTGAATCTTGGAAAGGGTCGTTGTATATGTACCTCCTTTCATTTCCCAGATTCTGAACTTTATCTATTGACCGGTTTTGATTTTTTTTTTGATCTATTTTGAAAGGCGTGACACTGAAAGCCAGCAGTATATCTTCGAATTACCAGCCCTCATAAAAATTTCAAGAACCGGAAGGACGAAACTAAAATAGCCGTGTCAATTGAAATTCCTCATTTTTTTGTTTTTTAATTATTATTTCCTTTTTTTTAAAGGAGGTTCCAGATTCAGGGAAGAAAGGTTATAAAGAGCAACATAGTCTACCCGCTCACATCTTCCTCATAAATGCGCCATTTTATATTTTGGCAATCTGATCCCACCGAGTATGCTTTGTAGATTTTCGATAAACCGCAGGAATAAAAGTATCGCATGAACGAAATGACTCGAATTTCTGGTAATGACGTTTCCCCAGAAGGAACATTCTTGTCATACCACTATAGTCCACTGTCTTTCATCCAACGTAAGGTATCACTAATAGAGGCCGAGCGACCAGAGTCCATCCGTGATCACAAGTCATATCGCAATAAGCCTAACGTGAAAAGAAAAAAAAAAACGGAACAAAAAATCTCCCGTAGCCAGAAAACAAGACGAAAAACTCCCTTGCGTGCTTGAGCCAAGGCGCTTACACAACGCAAGATAAGTCCTAGAACCACTCTTATTTCGCATTTTATTGTCAATCAAAGTGTTGGCGGATTAATGGGCATCGATGAGGAGAAAAAGATCCCCGCTAACGTTAAGTAAAGGCTTAGTATGGGTGTTGCTCTCAATTTTGACAAGTCTGCCGAGTTGGTGACACAGCATACACAGCCTCTGTGATATCTGGTAAAACCTCTTTTTTCAAAGCCCCTTAATTCCTTTCTTGACGATCGTTAAGGCGGTAGCCTGTGTGCAGACGGCCCCTCTTCCCTCCTCATCGAGCAAAAAATTGGTGTCTGTACAAAGGCTATGAGGCGGAGGCGTTCGAGCCCTCTGTCGCGCCATGTAAGACAAATTACCAGGGCGCTACAATTCAACGGTTTAAAAGTTCGGACACTCCACGTGCACAATGGAACGGTGCATTTCGGTTGCAGAGCCCTGAACCAAACCACCTCGCGTTTGGTTTTTGTTCTTGTAAGCAGAATACAAAAGAGTGGTACTGGGTACAACAATTTTTACCGAAATGGCTTGTTCCAATTTGATGTACCAACCGAAATTTCGGAACTGTGTTGAATGGAAGGAGACCCAGGACACTCTTGGTTTGTATAGTAAGGCTGGTTAATTCGCTTCATAGTGGGTATGACCTTATTTGGAGTGGATAAGGGGCCCATCTGAATGAGGAATATTAGGTTAGGGTTACAGGTGCAAGCCGCCTTATGACCGTATTTAGACCGTAGGATAAAGCAGTTTTATAAACTTTAGCACGGCATGAAGTACACTTGCTAAAACTTATGGAAAAATTTCTGCTTTTTTTTCCTTTCAAAGGCAGGTTATTATTCAGCAAAGTAATCAGCATGGCTGCTGAGATTCAAATTTGAAGTCGCTTTCCTTCAACATTACCGGAGCACAACGGCAGTTCATTAGAACTGATTATCGATCCCCTCAAGGCCGACTTATCTATTCCTGCCCCCAAGCCCCTGCCCTTTTAATACTTTTTAACAGCTCTTGCATAATGCCAGACTTTGGACGTCGATGAGGATAACAACTTCACAAAACTTACATGTACAGTTAATTACTCTTTATTTCCCTTTACAAAAATAAAACCCACGAAATTTTAAAGCAACTGGCAGAGAATGCTCCATTCATAATATTGGCTTAAATTTTCTTGGACTTGACGCTTCTCTCCAGGATCAGGCTGAAAAGGAAAATAGTAAAAGCAAGCCAGGTTAGCTATGGACTTCGGACTCTCAAAAAATTGCAGTCAGGAATCTACAATATCACGATTCAGCCCGGCGAGTGCTTGCAATATCTGTGTGTAAAACTGAACTCTTCAATACCATCTGAATACAGGCTATTTTTAAAAAGTTTTTTAAGTCGAAGCGCCATAGGAACTCAGAGCAGGATCATTCTATAGTGAAAATATTCAATACCCATTGATGAGAGAATGTCCGGTAACTTGTGCACTTTTATTTTTCACATTGCAATGAACATTTAAATTTACTTTTTTTATTTTTTCGATACCTGCGACAAGTTTCTGTATTGCTTGAATTTGCTCCTGACTCAAAGCTCGGTTGTAGATCCGCATCTGAGCAATTCTACCTTTGAAGTACCTCCTATCACCACTCTTCACTCCCATTCTGATACTATCTTGAGTGGCTAGTTCAAGGCCCGCTCCAATGTTTAACGTCTGAACCACAGCTCCATTGACCCACAGTTTGGCGTCGCCAGAACAACGGTCGTAAGATGCGCCAACAAACTTCCATCCACCCGCGAGACTGGTGTGTGCCAAATTGGTGGTAAACGAATAACCTCGTTTTGTGAAACGGGCAAAGAGTTTTCCACTGACAACCCACAGGTGAACACCCCAGCTTCCACTAGTCTTGTAGTTGAATAGAGGTCCATCTTGGCCATCAAAGTACACCCAGCACAGCATAGTCATCGAATAACGCACGTCCAAAGGTCCTCCAATCCTGTTGGGAAACTCGATGTAGCTGGTGGAGCTTCCAGAAAATTTATAAGAGTAGTTAGGTCTTCCATCGGGCCCTGGAGCCAGAGTAACCCCACTAGCAATCCCTTTTACCGCTCGGTTGTTAATCTCCTTGGTACCGTACGCAGCATTAAGGGGGAAGAAGGCGACAGGATCTGGAACTTTGAATGAGTAAAGAATATTTATCATTATTTTTGAAGAAAATGAATTCTGATGCAATGAATCTATGAGGAGGATCGACGATGGGTATCAGTCCGCAAATGAAAAAATAAGGTTTATAATCAGCGTACAACAGGATATCTTTGCGTCAGTATGTAAGTTTACGTGGCCTAATATTTATGCTTTATGGATTTACATATTTTGTAAGCACCCATTAAAAGAGATTCACAGCTTATAACTGTCTTTATACACTCTAAATCTTTCTCCCTTTTCTTATTGACTGAAGTTTATGCGGAAATTCAAACCGCTCAGTAGTCTAGCAATTATTTATGTTTTAAAGATGTGACGGCATTCAAAACTGAACTGCAACCACCAACCAGCTTTTTTTCTTCTTCCTTGGATAAGGTTTTAAGCTATTGTTCAATCGCCTCCAGTTTTGCTTTCATTTCTATAATTATTTTCTCGAGCTTAATTGGGTCCGGCGTGAAAGCTGTAATAGTTGTTTTTAGTGCCACTAAAACAGTGGATAGTGTTTTTCGCGCGCTCTGATTGGCTACTCAGTCAGTGAATATCTTGCATTAGTAAAATCCAACTAGTGGTCTATTATCAATTCTGCGTTCCGATTGGTTGAGCTACTACTAGGCTATATGTTACAGCCCACTAGTAGCGAAAAGCGCCGGCTTTTTGGCGGCAAAAAAGGATTAAAGTCTAGCTTTAACTAGCCAAAGTTGTTTTGTCTCGACATTTTTGACCAACTAGTTGGATTTTACTAAAACAATTATTCCTCTCGCCCTCATGACCTCTGAGTCAATAGCCCATTCGGCCTTTGGCCGTCGACCTCACGGGCTATTGACTCAGTAAATGAGTTAAAAATCATCATTTTTGCGCTCAATTATCTCACTCTTTTAGTATATACTAAAACAATTATTCACCTCAGTGTCTGTGGCTAGCGGTGAATATTTACCTCGCCGCTTCGCGGCCTCGGTAATAACCACCACTATATATAGCCAACTCCACTTCGGTGAATAATTGTTATATGTTGCAAGCCAGCAAAAATCATTCTGCGTAATGTTTTGTACTGTTACACCTCTCTAGGTCGTGTTTGAAGGAAAATAGTGACGAAACATACAGCTAAGAACTATCCTTTCATTTGACTGTATCGTAAAGTACTGCACCGATAAAACTTCAAGAAGCTTTCACTTTGGCGGTAGAATTGTTTGAAAGAGTTATAAGGCGTGTCGTTGAATATTCGTGTCAAATTCTGTTTACCTCTAACCAAAAGCTCTTTCTTTTACTGAATCGATTAATGTCACACGTTGAAATTCCCTTCACGGGGAATACTGAAGGGATTCAATGCACCATTTTGACAAATTTTATGTGGCAAAACCAATTCAACCAATTTCTACTATGCCAGTGACGAAGACATTTAGCTGGTAAACCTTTAGTTTCAGTTTCATGAAGTTAGAGAAAGTTGACTTCTGCCACAAAGGGCTCCTATTTATTAAATTGGGTGGCTACGAAATAACATCGAGTGAGGTACTTACAAACATGATTACAAATGTCAGTTGTCAGTTAAAACTTTGCCCATTTGTCAGTTAAATTTTAGGCTTTTTGTCAGTTGTCAGGAGTTGAATGATTATTAACGATTAACTGTGAAACTTATTTGTATATCTTTGATCAGAAATTCAGCTTTAAAGGCACATATAATGTAAATTAAACAGATCAAAAAATTGAATTCGAAAACTGATGCAATAGTACCTTAATTTTTATCAGTTTTGCTATCAGTAAGCATTTAAAGCGGCCCTTCATTTCTCACGTTTTGTGTCACTCGCCTTCACTCGAACGTTTTTGCTGGCCAGAGTCTAACATTTCCAAGCATTAAGTCCATCAGTATTTATACCTTCAGAGTATTGTATACCTGGCCGGTGGACTAAAGAGTCTAAAGACATCGATCTCACGTATCAAGGACAATTTCTCACGCCTGACTCACAAATCCGGACAAAGCGTTTCTCAAAAAATGATAAATAATGAAAATCCAATCCAAAAAGGCATTAAATGATGAATTTGATGGTGTCCTTTTCTGTGTTCTAACGAAATTAAAGCACGCTAAAATGGTCGTCTTTAAAATAACTTCGGAAGTGCTCAAATGTTCTCACGAAATTAAAGCACGCTAAAATTGTCGTTTCCAAAATAACTTCGGAAGTGCTCAAACGTCTTCGGAACATTTCCGGCAACGTTCGGAAGTCTTCGGAAAGTCGTCGGAAATCTGCGGAAGTAGCCGGAACGTTTCTAGAAACCCTGGTGGTGACAAGGTAAAAACCCAGAAAAAGTTGGCAGGTATAATACTGGGACGTAAATACCGTATTTATTCGAATAAGCGCCCAACCTCGAATGAGCGCCATCTCGAATAAGCGCCCATCCGAAAGGCAGAAAAAGTTAATAAGCGCCCAGCCTCGAATAAGCGCCAACCTCCACCCCACCCCTTTCCCCTCACACCCCACAAAAATTGAATCAGTACTAATAAGAGACTTCCCCGAAGACGGAGTTTTCTTCAGAGTATTTTACTGAAACCTTGCTTTGTTATATCTTCGCGTTTTGTTTTTATTATTTATTGTTTTGTTGCAAAATAAACATACTACACTAGCTGAAAATGTTGAAAATTTAATAAGCGCCCAGCCTCGAATAAGCGCCCACTCTCAAGGTCCAAAAATTTAATAAGCGCCCAGGGCGGTTAATCGAATAAATTCTCGGCTTGCACTGTCACGCAATGAAAAATAAAAATGCAAACCATTCAATACAGAAGGACTAGAATCTGGGAAATGAAAAAAAAAAAAATATACAAAAACCCTTGCCAAGAATCAGGTCTGTGAAATATTTCAAATGCGAGATATTGGGAAAATTTATAAAGCTTTGTATGGAAACGCCATGTTGGTGTCCCTTTCAGGAACACCAATATGGCCGCCGGATACCAACAGAAACATCTGTTTTCGAGTTTTCCTACTAATGCGTGAATTCTTCGCTTGAGGAACTCATAAAGATTACAGTAATATTTATTCGGAGACAAGGAATGTTTACATTGCAAAATCTCCCAAAATCGGTAATGTTTTTAACCCACATAAGAGCTTTCCCAGCGCCAGCTAAATGCCTCGTCACGCAAAAGCCTGGAAGTTCAAGCGTCCCTCTCGCAAAACGAAGAACCCTTTTCGAACCAAAAATTTGTTTATGTAAAGATGTTTAGGTACTGTAATACCTCGTGAAAGTAGAGACTCAGAAGAATCGGTAGTTTCTTAGCTTGGTTTTTGGTGACGTCACGTACAACCCAAGAATACGGTAGTAAGAAAGACCAAGAAAGACTATACCTAAATGATCTCGGTAAAAACTTGCAATTACTTTTGCAACGTCCTCATTAGCAGCCATCGTATGCTAGCGCGTACTTAGAGGAGTGTAAATTTGAGGACATAGGTCATTTACAACAGATGGTACATGACATACATGGGTTTTACAGTAAATCATTAACGAAATATGACACTTAAGCGTCTTTGCTGCTAAGATTACCCTTAAAACGCACATTTGAGACACATCGTCTGATGAAAAGAGTGAAAGAATGCTAGTTGAGACCTTAAAAACAGGATTTGTAGAAAATAAGGGACAATCAGGTCCTTTGTCCGTTGTCAGTAAAACCCAAGGCAAATGTCAGTTGTCAGTTAAATTTTAGGCTATTTGTCAGTTGTCAGTTAGAATTTTGGCTATTTGTCAGTCGCCAGTTAACCCCATCCAGACCCTCACTCAAGGGGAGCTCAAGCTCCGTTGGAGGCGAAGCATATTTTACAGCATTTGCAAAAAAAAAAAAAAAATGGTTAGCTAATTTAAAAATAAATTGTCAAACGATTCATAGAAGAGGGTGTGAATGGGGTTAACCGACTGGCGGCAAACGGCAAAAATATTACTGACTACCGACCAAACGAGAAAAAAAAAATTACCGACTAGGACAGGAAAAATATTAACCGACTACCGACTACCGACATAGACCGACATTATTTGTATTTGTTTTCAGAAGGAAGAGCATTTTGTATTTTTTCTAGCTTATGACTCATCAGATGGTCCAAGTGAAAGAATTTCCTCTTTTGTTGATGTTACAGCCAATGCCTAAATCATTATCGCCAGAAATTTCGAATCGACGTGCGCAGTGAGAGGCGACTTTTAGAAAATATCAATCTCGTTCCCAGAGTTCGCGTTGCTTTGTCCAGCGGAAGGGCAACGGGGACCTCTGGGATAATCCGTTTCAACTCGATTTTTCATTGGCTGCCCATCTGAGCATGAGCAGTAGAACCAGAAGTCAAAAGGTAAACAAAAGTGGAGGGAAAGAAAGCGCTGAAGGGGCTTTCAAGTTGTTATTGAGCGTGGTAAATCAAACCTTTTGCTCGTAAACGCCAATCTCAAGTCTAGCCTTCAAAGGAATTTTTTTCTTATCCTACCTAAATGTAAGCGATATCGGCTTCAGCAACAAGGCACACAAGATAAAGCAAAGCTCAATCAAATCCGCCGACGTTTGGCAAAAGAATTGAGAAACGTGGAAATAGAGAAGACTGAGTTGGTTTGTTATTTTCCTTTTCCATGATTTTGTTTACTGAATTCTTCTTGTTTAAATGAAATTTGGCACTGAATGTTTAAACATATATAATTCCAGTTGTTTAGTTTTTAAAAGATAAGTATTATTAAACATACTGTGGAGTTGACACTGAGTTGATTATTTTTCAAGTGAATTAGTATTTTCAGTCCAGTGAAAGTTCAGGCTGATGGGATTGTACGCATGCTGCACTTTCCTTTTTCACTAAAAAATGTGTGAAGCTCAAGTTCAAGTTCAAGTTCATTTATTCACACTTATTCAATTACAATACAACAACAATAAGGAATAAAAAAGAAGAAATAATAATAATAATAAAAACAGAGCTAACTATACATCGAATTAAACATAACAAAGGAAAAGAGTGTGTAGCAGCCAAAGGAGCCAAGCTTTGAGTTGGCTACTACCACATAGCGGTTACAAGTGGGTGGAGGTTATACAGTACTACTACTACTAATAATATATAGATTTAGCCAGGGCTAAAAGCGAAGCTCCCGTTAATAAATTCATAATTTACTGGTCAAACAATAAACTTGTAATCCACAGATCAGGGCACATTCATTTGACGTTTGAGGCAAAGGCTAAGTGATTTTAGAGAAAAATAATTTGACAGTCCAATAGTGAAACAGCTTTTACATCGGGTTATTAAATAGTCTTATTTGTAGACCCAAAAATAGCAATCATGTTTGTTCACAGTAGATTAGGCCTGGAAAACAAATAGACCTACCTATTCGTGTATTGTATTTGCATTAGCTGTTGCATCATAATGTGGCATTCACCACTCTCTCCAACATTGCTCCGTTTGAGAGACTATGGATAATTGGACAACCCCGAAATATAATTTTAAGAAACACACGCGCCACGATAGTCCTTGGTGGCAGCCAATTTACACGTTGCATTCCTCTGTCTAAGAGACAGAGAGAGAGAGAGAGAGAGAGAGGCCAAAATAAAAAATCAGGCCGGATTTTTTGTGTTCGACAAGTTTAGTTTACTAGTAAATCTTGGCGACGAATCTGGTGGCGTGTAAACCAGCCTTTTAAACATACTTTTTCTCATCACGTCTCAGGTAAACAGTACTATGAAGCCCTTGTTTTTATCATACAGACCTCGGACAGAATTTGTTCTTTTTTGCCCTATTTAAACCTACAATTCTGCAGTTTTTCACAATTTTGCAAGAGAATTTGCACTCATTCAATATCCACGACGATCAAAGCACGCGCTTCCTTTGCACAACAAATTATAGCATTGAATTATAAAACGTTTTCATGAAGAGAATTCTATAATGCCAGGACTTTCAGTTAGAAAAATCTGGTCCTATGTGATATGCAGGGTAATATGGGCTTTTAATGAAAACGATAAAAAAATTCCCAAAATCACTTTTCGGCCAGCCGGGCGGGGCTCACTTTTGACAGGCACCAAATTTGCAGTGCGATTAATAGAGTTACCATTTACGCTTCAACATGATAGATAAATTGTTATGTTTAGGTTTTATTTCCCTTTATTTATTAAACTGCGTACGGTTTTGTTATGTGTAATCTTTAAAAGCGAGTGATATTTACGCGCGGCGTTTTGAGTATTCCTGCATGAGATGTTTATGTTCGACTGGATACAACCGGTGCAGCGATAAAAATTTCGAGAGGAACTACTAACAATCAATAAAATAACTATAATTCGGTGAAACATGTACAGAGACAATAATTTTCATTCACGAAGAGAAGTATTGAGAGTAAAGTGTCTTTGAAAATCATGAGTCAGGTAAGCATAAGCTTATTTATGTTTTAAGCCGGCTTCCCGGTGTTTGCTCTTTTTCAAGATGAACTCGAGGCGAGAAAATCGCTCAGAGCTTTCTGTTTACAGCCAAAATCATAAGTAAATAATCTTCGGAACGTTTTCTTTGAATTTGCGGTCAAAAAATGTCTTAAGGCTTTTTAAACCTGATACTATTGTAGGTTAGATCATTGCTCGTGTATAAACTTAAGCCGCATAAACCATACGCTCGACTTCAGGAAACCAAAAAAAAAAAAAACACATCAAAGACAACAATTTCTCAGGCTTACCAGTCGAGATGCTGCTTCTG